AGATAGATAGATAGATAGATAGATAGATAGATAGATAGATAGATAGATAGAAATGCATGAATTGGGATGAGTGGTCGGATGGATAGATGAGTAGGTGAATGGATGGGTGGATGGTGATGGACGAATATGCAAGTGGGGCAAATGGGTAAACAAATGGACAGACCCAATGAGATGCCAAAGACATCATCGTTTATGTTAAATCACTACATGTTGGTTTCTTTTAGGACATTCTTCTCTTTTGCTGGGCCTTTGAACAAGAAGAAAGACCTACCTTCACTAAGCTCATGGACATGCTGGAGAAACTGCCAAAGCGAAACCGCCGCCTGTCTCACCCCGGACATTTCTGGAAGTCTGCAGAGTAAGTGTTCTCGCTTAGCATCTCTCCCCACTGCCTTTGTCCTCTGGCTTTTGCCACCTTTTTGCTTCTGCCTGCCATCTCCTTCCCATATACCCACCTCCCTCCCCCAGCCACCACCCTTCCCTACCAGGTTTCCATTCAGGGGAGTCTGCTCTGGGATTCGGGTCCTGGAGGCTGCCCTCCAGGGTCTTGGTCTTTGTGGCTACGTGGCTGCCTCGTTGTCTATGTCCTCCTAATGAAGGTTGATGCCCCAGTGAGTCTGAACATCATGTACAAGGCAATACCCTGAACCCACCCAGCCCCCTGTGTCAGGTACTCAAGCATGCTACTCTGGGGGGCCTGGCTTTCAGGAAATCTCCCCCCTGGGCCAGCAGCCGCTCCCCATCACGGCATCTCTCAGCTTCCAGAACTTTCTGTTGCATGAAGACAAGGGTTCTCAGCTTCTCCTTGCTGTAAGTGTCTCTCCGGCTTCCTCATTAGAGACTCTGTGCCCCTCCCCCTACATGTTCTTGGATGGAGATCAGTGGTTCTGAATGAGGCATCTCTCTGGGGGCCTCCTTCCCAGGCCCCAGCCTCAGCGATTTCTCCAGAAGGTGAGGGTGAGGCTGGCCCAGATGAGGCTGCCGAGGGGTCCCTGCTCCCCACTGCCCTGCCGTTCTAGGCACACGTGGTTGCACACACACATACATAGAAACTGAACCTGGAAACACGCCTCCGCACATGTGCATGCGCACGGGAGCACTCAGGTACACACACACGCCCGACACAGGAACATTACGTGAAAACACACCCAAACACACCCGGTACGCAAGCCCACACACGTGGGCGGACGCAGGCATACACACATACACGGTTAGGTTACGTGACACACGCATGCACACAGCAGCACTTCACCACCACACGCCTCCTCACCGACGTGCAAATGGAGGTACACGCGTCTCCAAACCCCCAGCTGCGGGCACAGGCACACCAGAGCGCTTGTCAACATCTCAGCACGGGACCCCGCGAGGATCCCCAAGGCAGCAAGCATCCTGTGGAACAGAGGCCCCGGGGGGGCCCTCAGCTACCCCTCCCCCCACCATTTGAGCCTGCTGTACCTGGAGGACAGGATCTCTTCTTCCCCCAGGGGCTCAGCCTTTTCCCAGACAATGAAGGCAGCACAGACTTCCCATGTCGGACAGACATGGATTGGAACCCCCGCTCCCCCGCCTCATCGCTGCGTGGCCTTGGGCATGTTCCTTGGCCTCTCTGAGCTGCAGCGTCAGCCTCCAAAGAAGGAGGGCGGTAAACGGCCTTAGCGGGGGCGCCGTGGCGATGCCGTCAGGTCGTGCGCTGGGGCGTTTGGTGCGGTGCCGCCCACGTTAGCAGGTGTTCTGTATACTTGAGCCGCCTTTGTCTGCCAGGAGCAAGAATTGAGTACAGGTTGAACATGAAAACGGAGGGAGGGAGGCTCTAACAAGTGAGGACTCTCTCCAGCTAACGGAGCTCAGGCAAGTCGGAGAACGAATGGCAGAGCTCTGGGTGGGTCCCAGGAGTGACCGGGTGTTACAGAACCCGAGTGTTGTTTGGGCCATCACCAGTGGCCTCTGCTTTCCGGGGGTCAAGGAGGAGAGGGCAGGAGTTAGCTGAACAGAGGGGCTTAAAGCTCCCTGGTTGGAGGGAGAGCAGAGGGCCTTCTTTTCTGTATTTTTCCATGCCGTTGGGCTGAGAAAACAGAGACCCTAGAGACCATGTGGTCTGGCAGGATGGGATTCTAGGATCAGTGAAATTTTCTCTTCACTCGCTTTTTTACTCCGTCTGGGTGTATTGAATACCTACTATGTGCTAGGCTCTATTGTAGAATGCAAATACAGTGGTGAACAAAACTAATAAGCCCCTGGCCTCATAGGGTTTACGTGCTAGAGCAGGCACAAGAAGCAGGTAAACATGTTTTAAAAAGGGTCATCATTCCAGATGGAGTTGTGTTGAAGGGTGGAAGGGAAGGGTCAGGAAATGCCCCTCAGAGGAGGTCCTGTTAAAACAAAGCCCGTGGGGCGCCTGGGTGGCTCAGTCAGTTGAGGGTCCGACTTCAGCTCAAGTCATGATCTCACGGTTTGTGAGTTTGAGCCCCGCGTCGGGCTCTGTGCTGACAGCTCGGAGCCTGGAGCCTGCTTCGGATTCTGTGTCTCCCTCTCTCTCTGCCCCTCCTCCACTCATGCTCTCTCTCTCTCTCTCTCTCTCTCTCTCTCTCTCTCTCTGTCAAAAATAAACATTAAAAAAAATTAAAAAAAAAAAAACAAAGCCCTTGAGGGGAAGCCAGGGCTCCACGTGGAAAATCTGAGCCCTCCAGCGGGAGTGAGCGTGCAGTGCTGGTAGAACAGAGAGGAAGTGGGTACGACCAGGCCGTGGTGAGTCGGAGGGAGAGAAATAGGAGGTGAGGTCCCAGGAGTGGTCAGAGGCCAGATCGGCATGGTAGGAGCTGGGTTTTTTTTTCAGAGGATGACAGAGCATCCTAGAAACTTCCTCAGAACCAGAAGACCCCCCCCCCCAAGAGGCCATGTGGTCCCAGACCTGCTCCCCCTAGGGTCATCCACTGAGTGAAGGTTGTCGGGGCAGGGGGAGGGGGGATGTGGAGGGCTTTTCCTTTGTGGAATAGCTGGCATTGGGTTTGGGGGTCCAGAGATCGGAGGGCAATTCCCACCTCTGTCCCTACTGACTTTGCTACTCTGTTTATTGCCTAGCGTGGCCATTTTCTTGGCCACATCATAACCCCTCAGGGAGAGGGAATATAAAAAGACACTATGAATCGAGACCTGAAAGGAACAGAAGTCCTCTTTGCTTCTCACTGTCAAAGTAGAAAAGTCCTGGGGATTACCTCCCCGGTGGATGCAAATGTGTGTGGTGTCTGTGCCCTATTCCTGCACCCGTGGCAGACATGGCTAATCTATCACAGCACAACCACCATCACTCAGCCCTTCTGCTAGCCACTTACTGAGCCAGTTACTCAGAATCAATGCACGGGATGCTTTCCTTGGCCATTCCAGATTAATCCAACCTTCTTTTACGTATGGAAGAACTATGAATCATGAAACTCAACCACATCCACAGGGGGTGTTGTTAACGAAGTTGGGAACGCAAGTCAGGCTCCAGCTCCCTAATCCGGAATTTTCTCTCCCCACAACATCAGCCCTTATGGTTCCCTTGGTCACACTCATCTGGCTTTGAGATGGTCACCCTGGTGGTGTAGTCAATGCTGGAGTCCTTCTAGAAGCCTCCTGGGTCAGCGTCAGATCGGCAGAGGGTTTGGCCAAAGGAGACTCAGGATCTGGGTCCTTTCCAGGCCTTTGTAATCCGTGGAGGGTACCAACCAGGAGGTCCCAGATGCAGCCAGCATGTTGCGCATACGAGCGGCTAACTCCAGGCTTACCTCTGGGGTCTTGGGTTTGCCCCTCCAGTGGGTCACGCTTGAGGAGCGGGGGCTTCCAGAATCCCAGTGTGCGTTAGTACATGGGGAACTAGAGGAAAGGCTGGGGACAAGCCTGCATTCCAGAGCGGTGCATCTCGAAATTTAATATGCGTCCACAACAGCCAGGGAATTTCTTAAAATGCAGATTCCCATTCTGTATGTCCGCAGTGAGGCCCAAGATCTTGTATTTTGAGCAAGCCCCAAGGTGATGCTGGTGTGGCTGGTCTGCGGACCACCCTTTGAGTAGCGAGGGTCCAGACCTTTGCTGCCCAATAGTGGCCACTCCCCTCATGTGGCCCTTGAACACTCATAATGTGGCAAGACGGGATGTCCTGTGAGTGTGTAAAATCCACACGAAATCTTGAAGACTCGGGATTAAAAAAAAAAAAAGTGTAATTTGTCCCATTACACATACAGGACTGGTGATAACGTTGAAATTACAGTGTTTGGGTATAGTGGGTTCAATAAAATACACTATTAAGTTCACCTTTTTTTTTTAACCTTTTAAAATATGACTAGAAGATTTACAACGACTTGGATGGTATTTCTTTTTTTAAAAAACAACTTTGTCGAGCCAGAGTCCACACGTCATATAATCCTCTCCCCTTAAAATATACAACTCAGTGCGTTTGGGTATATTACATTACTCGTTTTTAAAATTGTGGTAGGGTATATATCACATGGATTTGCCATTTTAGCCACTTTTAAGTGTACGATTCAGTGACATCGATTACATCCACAGCGTTGGGTAGCCGCCGCCGCCATCCCCAAAACCTTTTGTCCCCCTCCGAGCAGAAACTGTACCCCGTAAACAGTAACCCCCGATCCCTCTTCCTCCCGGCCCCCAGTAACCTCTCCCCTGCACCCTGTGCCTATGAACTCGCCTGCCCTAGGTAGTTCAGACAGGTGGAATAGTACAATATTTGTCCTTTTGTGTCTGGGGTCTTCCCTTAGCGTGTCTCCAAGGTTCGTCCACAGTGTGACGTGTATTGGAACGTCACTGCTTGTTACGGCTGAGCACCGTTCTGTTGGATGCACGGCCCGCGTGTTGTTTCTCTGTTCATCTGTTGGCGGGGACTCGTTTGTTTGCACCCTGGCTACTGTGAACAATGTTGCGGTAACAGTGGCGTGCATGTATCTGTTGGAGTCCCTGCTTCCGATTCTTTTCAGTAATGTTGTCGGTCCATCGCACATCATTGGTCTGGGTCATCACCTTGACCGCCAGCGAGATCTCTATCACCCGGGTACCGCTTATAAAACATTAGTAACAGGTACTGTGTTAGGCATTCTGTCTGCCTTATCTTGCTGACTCCTCAGAGCCCCCACCTAGGAGGCAAGCACTGTTACTGTTTTCCTCGTAAGACAACCGAAGCACAGAGAGGCCGAGTGCCTTCCCAGTGGTCACACAGCTAGTAAGGAGGAAAGCAGGCCTTGGAATCCAAGTTGGTCTGAACCCTAAACCCATGATATTAACTCCTCTGCTGCCTTCTAGGTGCAGATTACCTGAGTACCTTTAGGGTCCCTTTCCAGAATCGTGCTGGGAGAACGGGCATAACATCTGCCGTGCCTGCCCAGATCCTGGCTCGACAGTGGTCAGCAAAGCCTCTGCCCATAGCAGGAGTCTGTGGTGTGGGTCCTGGTCTCCCCTCCGCTTCCTGGATTTCCAGTCCTTCCCGAGCATGCTACACGTGCCACGAATGCAGGTGTTCCAGCACCACATGCCCTCAGCCCAGCCCCCACACTGGTGACCCTCCCTAGTCCAGAGGCTACCTGATCAAGTGGGAGGAGTTCTAGGTTCAAATCCTGACCCTGCGGCTTCCTGGCTGTGCACCCCTGGGCAAAACACTTAGCCTCTCTGGGCCTCCATTGTCTCATCTGTAAGAAGGGTACAAGGCGTGTATCTTGCAGGCTGTTCTCGGGTTTAAATGAGATCAGGTATTTGTGGCGCTTGGCACAGAACCCAGTACATAGTAGGACCTCAGTACAAATGGGTGTCCCTTCAGCTCTTCTTGCAGGGGACAGGAACAGCTCATCTCAGACCCCCTAGCCCGCCGAGAGGGTGCTCATGTACCAAAGATGACACTACTCTGTCCATGTGACCTCTTGCCTCTCTCTCTTCTTCTCTCCCCACTCCAGGCTGTGACCGTTGGACAAAGGGACAGCACTCAGCTGCCTCAGCCCCCGAGCCACCTCTCCTTCCCCGCTCTGCCCTCTGCCAGCTCAGGAGGCCAGAGGCTCACCATCAGAGGGTACCGACCCCGGCCGGCCTGGGAGCACTGCACGACCGAGGTCGGCAGCTTCCCCACTCCCCAGACCCGTGCCCTTTTGCCCGGGCAGGGTTGGGGACCCCTGAGCTAGGACTTACCAGGACCAGCCAGGGAGACGTGGAATTGATCCGTGAGGCCCCAGGGGCCACGTGGAGAAGAGAACTGGAGGCTGAATGCAGAGCGCCCCTGGGCCACGGAGACGAGGGCACGAGGCCTACGCGGGCAGGCTCGCAGGACCGGTCTGTGTGTACATGTGCGTCCCCGTGCACGATGCCGTTCGCTCTAGATCCCCTGTGACAAGCGAGAGCCAGGCCGCCCCGGCTCTGGAGCGCCCCTCTGCTGACTTGGTCCCTGGGCGGTGGGTTCCAGCTGTGCTGTCTGGAAAGATGGGGTGGGGTGGGGAGCTAAGCACCAGCTTCGTGGAGGCCTTGGGGCCCAGAGCTGGGCAGGGGGGCTAAACTGCTCCTGTGTAAACATCTGTTCCCCCAGGCCTGTCATGGGTCTCGGCCTCTTTGCATATGGCTCCGAAGTACACAGAACAGTCTTGTATGTCTTTTGAGCTCTGGGTCTCTCTGGGGTGTGGCTCCCATTTCTGCCGCCTTCGCCTGTTCTGGGAGAGCACCGTCCCTTTTGGCCTCCTTGCCCCCATGCTTCCCCCTGCCATTTGAAAAGCACAGTGGCTTCCTGGCCGAGATGACTTCTGGGGACTCCTTGCAGCTTGCCTTCGCCCACGACACCCCCCTGAAGCCTGGGCCCTGAGAACTGGGGGGCTGGGGAGGAAGTTCTAGGACATTCCTTCTCCCTCCTCCTGTTCTGGCATCTACACCAGCTAAGTTTGTCCACCACGGCGATGGACGTGGGTCCCTAATATATGTATGTTGGATTTCACGGCATATGCATGGCATCCTGTTTGCAAAGGATCCTCCCTTTTCACCCTTAATAAGTCCTGTTGGGGAGGCGGGGAAGGAGGCCGTAGACGTTCATTCTCAGCTCCAGCCTGGTGTGGAGCCCTGAGTGGTTTCCCCATGAGAGGTCTGCCTGCGCTCTCTCAGGGCCCATGCCTTCTATCCCTCCCTCTTGCTCCCTCCTGGGCTGGTGGCTTTTCCCAGCCACTCGGGACCACATGTTCTATAGGAAGGATCCAGGAAGCAGGTCGGGCGTGCAGAGTCCTGCGGGGGGCCTCGGTCCTATGTTCTTATGTTCCATCCCTTACGAGGGTATGTCTCCTGTTCCCAAAGCCCCTCTGACCTGGCACCAAAAGGACATCTGTCCCCCAGCAGGGCAGTGGCAGGGCAGCTGGCCAGCAGGCAGGATACCCAGGGTCAGCCCATAGCCTCTCCACACTCCCCGGGCACTTCCCAGGCTTGGTTTTCTTCTGGTCACTACCTTATCCCGATGGCCCCCTCTCAGAGAGGGGACCAAAGACTTCAAAAACCTTGCCTGAGTATAGATTCAGCATCCCACCTGATGTAAGGGGTATGTGCGGGTCTTCCCCACCTTGGGTGATTTCCAGACTGGTTCATGCTTGAGGGGCCAAGCCTGCTTCCAAACTGGGAAAAATGATGAGCTAGCCATGCTTCCCGAGACCCTGGCCAAGGGGAAAACCCTGAGCCTCCCAGGGGGCCTTCCTGAATGGACTCCCACCTGCAAAAGACCGGAGACTAAAGGCCCCCGTGTGGGCTGTTCCTAAGTGGATGGTCCTCTTCTTGGGGCTTCTGTAACTCTGTGGCTCTTGGCTCAACATTTGTGTATCTTAGGGTCGTTTTATACACACTGGCACAAATCCCAGCAAGCCACTCGGCAGACCAACCCCAGACATGGGTGTGAACCTGCCTGGGCTCTGCCCAGCGGCCCCTCCAAGGCCTGAAGTCCAACCCTGGCTTCTGTTTAATCCAACCAGGACTTTGGGGTCTGTGCACCCCAGTCTTTGTCATGGACCTGAGCGCAGGAAAGGAAATGAGGAAGGGAGGAAGCGGGCAGGACGCATCTACCCCGAAGCCAAAATGCTCACCAGGACGGCAACTGGCTCCTTCTTTCTGCTCTCATTTCCAGAATTCACTAACATGGTCACCCAGAGCCTTTGGCAAGACCCTGCAGGGTCTCCAAAGACTGCTCTTTCCATCTGTTCATGACCACCAGCTTCAGATTGAGGACAAGGTGTGAGGAATCCAGGCAGAGACCCCAGCCTTCCTGGTTCCCTAGGACCTTCTCTGCTTAGCGAAACAGGGTTCCCTGGGCCTGTCCTGGGCCCCAAGTCACCTGATCTTGCTTTCTCCCTCTTCTCCCACAGTCTTACCTTGCCCCCACCTTCCTCAGTCTCCACAGCAGCCAGGCTGCCCCAGGTTTCCAGCCCCTCCCTGCCGCCCCCCACCCCTCCTCCTGGCGACCACCTTGAATTGTTTAGAGGGCAGTTTTTTTTTTTTTTTAATTTTTTTTCAACGTTTATTTATTTTTGGGACAGAGAGAGACAGAGCATGAACGGGGGAGGGGCAGAGAGAGAGGGAGACACAGAATCAGAAACAGGTTCCAGGCTCTGAGCCATCAGCCCAGAGCCTGACGCGGGGCTCGAACTCACGGACCGCGAGATCGTGACCTGGCTGAAGTCGGACGCTTAACCGACTGCGCCACCCAGGCGCCCCTAGAGGGCAGTTTTAATTTGCAGACATTTCAGTTCAGTGGGAACCAAACCTCTGCTTTCCCTGCTGACCTCAATCTTATTCATGAGTCAAGTATTGGGAGGAGGTCATATTCATTAATCTTTTGCAAGGAAAGAAAAAGGGAGGTGTGTGTATTTTTACATCGTAATTGCTTGACTCGTTCTGTAGAATCCACACAACCAAGAGTTGTGTGTGTGCACCTGTGCTGGTCACAGCAGGTGCCCCATGCCCAGCCGTGAGCTGTTTATCTCTGTGCCCTGCTTTGAGCAAACCCTGGTACCCACCAGCTTCCCAAGTACATCGGTCCACAGAGTGAAGATTCACAGGGAAGCCTTGACTTTGCCTTCTTTGAAGGGCTGCTGGATTTGCACACTAAATTCCATCCAACTCCCCGGGCCATGTGTATTTCCTAAAATGGGGACTCCTTTCCGGGGGAACCCCCTTGGCCATATGTGGGGATATCCCCATGTCACCTTCCACAGCATGAACTTGAAGACCCGAAGTCTTTACTTAATTCTGTTTTGCCCTGGTTTTCCTTTTGCTGGTCAAAGAGAAAAAAAATCCCATCTTGCCACAAACCATCCCCCTCTTTCTGGATTCTTGATCCATAGAAACCTTGGACTGATCTCTGATGACTAGACTCTTGTATCTAGGATACCTGGTTCTGCCTCTTTCCCACCCCACCCCCTCAAAACCAGACTTTATCACCTCCCACGATTATTGTCCCCCCCACCGCCAGCGGCTGATCATCTCAGGAACGTGAACAAGGTGGCATATGCTCGGCCCAGGCCCAATCCCTATCTTGAGAAATCTAGAACCAGGGTTGGCCAATCATGGCCCCGGGCCAACCCACCAAATAGTTTTCACCTTCTCTAATTGGGGAAAAACCAGAAGAAGATTTCATGATGCGTCAAAACCCCATAGAATGCAAATGTCAATGACAGTCAACAAAATTGTATTGGCACGGGGCCACAGCCATTCATTTACATATGAACCACGGTTTCTTCTGTGCTACAGCGCCACAGTTGACTACCGGTAACGGACGCAGTGTGGCCCATAAAGCTGAAAATATTTATAACGTGGACCTTTACAGAAGACTTTTGCCAACCTCTGCCCTAGGGGACTGTCTTCCCGAAGAAGCAGCCAACTTGCATATGGCGCCCAAGAGACGAACAGGAACCAGGCTGGGAGTTACAGGGGCAGAGAACCTGTTCCAGTGAGGGAAGAACTTTCTAACAGCTTGCCCCAAGATGTAGTGGGCCGCCTGGGGAGGTAGAAAGCTCCCTGTCCCTGGAGAGGGATGCGCAGACATTGAGGCCACTTGGTATACACGATAAAGAGAGAATTCAGGCTTTGGAGGATAGAGGGACAGGTTCTAAGAGTGTATTGGGCCCAGCCTGCCATAACAAAATATCTTAGATGGGTGACTTCGGCAACAGAAAGTTCTTTCTCGCAGTTCTGGGGGCTGGAAGTCCAAGACCAAGGTATCAGCAGGAATGGTTTCTCCTAAGACCACCCTCCTTGGCTTTCAGCCTCTAGCTGTGTGCTCACGTGGCCTTTTCTCTGAGCACGCACATCCCCAGTGTCTCTCTCTTATAGGACACCGGTCTGATTGGGTGGGAGCCCATCCTTACGACTTTTTCATCTTAATCGCCTCTTTAAAGGCCGTATCTCCAAGCACAACCACCTTGGTGGTTAGGGCTTCGACATACGAATTCAGGAACATACGGTGAGGTGTGTGCTACGGTGGGGGGAGCGGTTCAGTCCCTAACAAAGACCCTTGATATTGCCAAGACCGTGATGGTAGGGACCTTCTGGGCAATGCTCCTATTCCTGGCTCTCATTCCCATGCTGTTCTCAACCTGGAGTCCCCAGATTTGCCCTCCCTGTCCTCACCCCCTGCCAGCCTTCACCCAGCTGCCCCCGAAGGACTGGTCTCGTTCCAAATATTCCACCACCCAGGCCCCTCCTGACCGGGGCCGCCATAACAAAGCCCACACACTGGGCAGCTTAAAATGACTGTCATGGATTCTCTCACGGCTCTGGAGGCTGGAACCCTAAAATCGAGGTGTCGGCGGGACCGCGCTCTGATCCCCCCGCCCTGCAAGGGTGTCCCTTCCTGCCCGCCTCATGTTAACTTCCGGTGGTTTGCTGGTCGACTTTAGCATTCCTTGGCCCGCAGCTGGATCCCTCCATCGTCTGACTCCACCATCACATGGCCTTGCTGCGCATCTGTCTCGCGTGGCTGTGTCGTAGAAGGACACCATCCCGCTCAAGTTTGACCTCACCTTAACTCATGATACCCTCAACCACCCTGTTTCCAAGGAAGCTCACATTCTGAGGTAACCAGGGCCTAGGACCTCAGCATATCTTTTTTTTTTTTTTTTTTTTTTTTTTTGGTGGCAGGGACACGATTCAACCCTAACACCCTCTAAGGAGCTTTCTCCCATGCCTTGACTGGTCACCTTGGTCCCTCCATAGCAGACCCCCTAGGACAAAGGTCCCAGAATCCCTGGGCCATGAGGGTCAGGACACCAAGGTGGCTCTTCTCAAACCCGACACCTTCCTCCCTGGGTCCTGTAGTCCCGGACTTCGTCTCCACAGCTGAGGCCGGGCAGCGTGTCTGTTGTGGGGTGGTCACTTGACCACCGAATGCACTCGTTTCGGCCCAGTCTGAAGGGGTTGCCGGCACGACAACCCCTTTAATGGATTCTCTTGCCCAGTGGCAAAGGAATAGACTGTGGCGAGCTGTGCACCTGCTGCGGCCTTTTTTGGCCATGCCTGTGAAGGGAGGATGTTTCGAGCAGGCTCAGGTGGATGTGCCCCCTGGGCCCCAGTCGCCCCTAGCCCCCCCACTGCGGCCTGCACCTGCGCGCACCTGCGAGGGAGTAGTCCTGACCTCGGAGGGGAAGGAGAGGCAAATGCAGTCTGGGCTTCAGAACACGGGGACCCGGGGGCTTGAAGATTCTCGTTCTTCCTGACTCTCCCCGCGTCGTGCCAGCTGGACCATGAGCCTCTCCAGTCACTGCTCCTGACCATCAACCCGAATGACTGGCTTCTGTCTTGAGGTCCTACCAGCCACGCCATTCTCTAATGAGGCAGAGCGTCAGTGGGAGGCCTTCACCCTGAGCGCCTCGACTCGCCTATGTGCTAGCACCTGGCCTACTGCCTGGCACATAGTAGACGCTACGGGATGCAGAGAGGGAGAGTTGCTGGGTGAGAGCGAGGCACGGGCA